ACATATACACACACACACATATATATATATATTAATCTTTGAGAATGTAATATTGATCTAGCAATGGATTAGGACATACTAGAGGCCCAAAGGAGCTCCAGTGGCTTAGTGCCAAAGGCATTTGACAGCTAACCAGAAGACTGGCGGTTCAAACCCACAGCCACTCCTTAGAAGGAAGACTGGGCAATCTACTTCCGTAGAGATATCACCTCAGAAACCCAAGGAGGGGTCACCATGAGTCAGAATCGACTCCATGGCAGTGAATTTAGAGGTCCAAAGAAGAAAGCAGAATGCTGAAATTGGATTTCATCTTGAGGAAATTAGCCAGACCACAATAAATTTGTGTTTCTACCTCTATGACTTTGTAGGAAAAGGACACAGGACACAAATTCTAGGGCCTTATGTCTCAATAACCATCTCTTGTTAAAAGTGATACAACCTCATTAAGTTGACCGCTGGGAAGAACTGGCCACATATAGTTAAGTTTGTTCCATAAAGGATTTTCAACTTTGGAATGTTTCCACTGGCCTGGCTTACTGGTCCCTTCATGTTTTATGGCCCACCTGAAACAAAGTAAGAAAGAAAAAGGATTTATTAAGGTCAAATATCACTTAAAAGTACTCCTTTTATCATTGAGTACTTGCTATATATACACAGTGTCAGTTTGAATTAAAAACACAAATCTAATAATTTGCAAGTAACACAATAGCCAATACACTGAAAAATTAAGGGATATTTTTCAAAATCATGTAAACATGCAACACTGTCAAAGTTATAGTAGACAGCATTTGAGGCAAAGGCAAAGTAAAATAACAGTCATGTGGTAACATTAATATAAATAACAATATATTCATAGGAAAAAATCAAGCAAAACTTCTTAGACATTCAAAGATAAAATGACATAGACACAATTATTATGGAAAACATGATTACACTACCAAAAGATTATTAATTTCCAGGTTAAAAATAATTCATGTAACAAACAAGAAGAAAAAATATCTGACTACTATAACTAACAAATTAAAATGACTATAAATGCTAAAAAGAATACACCTTTCTCAATAACTAATGGAACATTTATAACCTTTGCCACATTCAGAGTAAACTTCAATTTTATTTCTTTTCGAAGGAAAATTGAGGGGAAGTCCAAAATGGTGGCTTAGTCAGATACAGTACTCTGTTCCTCTCTAGCAAAGACCCAAGAAACAAAGTGAAAGAGATACAGAAGGCAGTCCTGGAACCCTGTGCATCAAATGAAAACATAAAGTGCTAGATTGATTACTGATTAGAGGAAGTAACTGAATGAAAACAGCAAACAAGAAGAGATGGAGTGGAGGGGCCCCACCAGCTGGCCTAGCACAGAGTGGCCATCTTGAAAAAAAGACAGTAGTAATTCCAGGTGAGTATAGAAGGCAACTACGCAGAATTCCCAATGAAACATAAAGTAACCAGAGTGAAATAGGGCCCTGATCACTGGTTAGAGCTAATGGAAAAAACCCAAGCACCCTAGCCCAGTGACTAGAGAAGCATGCTGCCCTTCTCCCCACTTTCCTGGTGATTAGGCACAAACATCACCCTTCCTCCAGTCTCAACCTCTGGGTATCAAAGTATGAACCTATCCCTCCACTCCCCCCGCTCCATTACCCCTCCAATCCAGTTCCAAATGCAACACCTCCCCCTGACAGACAACCTCACTGAGAGGTGGCAGGACATTTTGGAACAGAGCCAGCTGGTCCCCTGTGCCTCCTGCCTGCTGACTGGGCCAAACTCTGCCCCCTCTGCCTGGTCAGAGGTGGTAGCAGAGTAATCACACGGGCTCCTGCTTGCTGCTCCCTCCCCACACTCCCCACCTCACCTGGCAAGGGGCAGAGTGGGGCAAGGGATGGGCATGAACACATATACACCCACCCACTGCTCACTCCCCTTAATCCTCAACCAGAGAGGGGCAGCAACCGCATGCATGCACACACATACACCCATGGCCTACAACCACCTGGCCCAGCAAGAGGCAGTAGCAACACAACCCCGTGCACACCCATCTGCCACTACCTCCCTCCTTGCCCCAACTGCTGCTTGCCCCTTCCCCTCCCCCACCTATCAAGGGATGGCGAAACTGCGACCACACACATGCCAGACCACCATTCACACCATTCCCACCATACAAGAGATGGCACCAGTGTGACCATGTGCAAACCTGCCTGCCATTCACACCCTCATCCAATGCAATGCAATGCAACGCATGGCCATGGAGTTGGATCCGACTCATAACGACACTTCCTTGAGTTTCCAAGGTGATATCACTGTGGGAGTACATTGATTGCCCAACCTTCCTTTCAAGGAGTGCTGGTGGGTTTGAACCTCCAGCCTTCTGGTTAGCAGTAAAATGCCTTAGGCACTGCAAATGACTGCATACCCACTAGATAGCCACATCTTCTGCCCCTTTTACTCAGTGAGTGCCACCACTTGTTTCTGAACCATTGGATTGATAATAGACTGTGGCCAGCACCAACCCAGCCATCCATTAGTTGCTCCATAGGCCTAGCGAACAGTTATCCATGCTCACGCTCCCAGCCACTACCTCACCCACCCAGACACATGTTGTGAGTGCCCCAGTGCTGCCAAACTAGTGAACCAGGGTAGCATGCCCACTCTGCCCACCTGGATATATCAGAACAAACAAAAAATAAGGATGATGCAAATTATACACAGTCAATAAATACAATAACACACCAATGTCTCAGAGACCAAAGACAACATCAAATCACACAAAGAAGCAGGACAAGATATCTCAAGCAAGTGACTAAAACAAAGGCCAGAAAATCTTCCTGAAGGAGAAATGGTAATGGAACAACCTGATAAGAAATTTGAAAGATTTATATTTTGGATTCCTCAAGAGATCAAGGAATACACAGACAAAACCAAGGAAAAACAAAAATAAAATCAAGGAAAATAGAGACAAAACTGTAAAAGAATTCCAGAAAACAAGACAAGAACAAAATGACAAAATAAATAGATAATTATAAACCATACAAAAACAGTAACTGGAAATCAAAAAGATTAACACTAAGATTTCAGAAATAGATAATGCTTTGGAAGGACAAAGAAGTAGAATTGAATCAAGGGAAGAGAGAATTAGTGAAATAGGATAAATCCTTTGATAGCAATCTGCTAGAGAAACAATCAGAAAAAGAGAATGAAGAAAAATGCACAAAGCCTACAAGTTATTTGGAACACCATCAAAAAGAATAATTTACACATGACTGGATTAAAGAACAGGAGAGAAAAAAAAGATGGAGGAAATTTTCAAATATTTGCTGGTAGAAAAATTCCCTAGTATCATGAAAAAGGGGAAGATATCCACCTAAGAACTTCAATGAATCCCAAATAGGATAGACTCCAAAAGAAAATCAAACCTTGCAAAACCAAAGACAAAGAAAGATACTGAGAGCAGCTCAGAAAAAAAAAAAAAAAAAAAAATTACCTACAAAGGGGAACCAATAAGGCTAAGCATTGATTTCTCAGCAGAAACCATGCAGGCAAGAAGGCAAGGAAATGACATATACAAAAGCCTGAAAGGAAAAAAAAAAAAAAAAAAAACCTCCCAATCAAGAATTATATATCCAGATAAACTGTTCCTCACATATGATGTTGAAATTAGGACATTTCCAGATAAATAATCAGAACATGGGATGTACAAAGTAAGAATCTAGGAACATTGGACATCATCAAAAGTGAAATGGAAAGCATAAGATTAATATCGTAGCTATTAATGAGCTGAAATGGTATTCGCCATTTTGAATCTAATAAACATATGGTCCACTATTTTGGGAATGACAAAAAGAACAGGAATGGTGTCACATTCATTATCAAAAAGAACATCTAAAGATCAATCCTGAAATACAATGCTATCACTGATAGAATGATAACAGTATGCCTACAAGGAAGACTAACTAATATTACTATTATTCAAATTTTCACTAACTACAAATGACAAAGATTAAGAAATTGAAGATTTTACCAATTTCTGCAGTCTGAAATTGATCAAACATGCAATCAAGATGCATCAAAAATTACTGGTGATTGGAATGTGGAAGTTGGAAACAAAGAAAGATTAGTAGCTGGGAAATATGGGCTTGGTGACAGGAACAATACCAGAGATCGCATGATTTCTCACCATCCTTGCTACTAAGGAGCATTCTAGCTATACTTCTTCCAAGGCAGATTTGTTTGTTCTTCTGGTTGTTGTTGTTAGGGGCCATCAAGTTGATTCCAGCTCATAGCAACCCTATGTATAACAGAACAAAACACTGCCTAGTCCTGTGCAATCCTCACAATCGCTGCTATACTTGAGCCCACTGTTGTAGCTATTGTACCAATCTATCTCAATGAGGGTCTTCCTATTTTTCACAGACCTCCTATTTTACTAAGCATGATGTTTTTCTCCAAGGACTGTCCCCCTTGATAAAATGACCAAAGTATGAGAGATGAAGTCTTCGCATCATCTTTGCTTCTAAGGAGAATTCTAACTGTACTTCTTCAAAGACAGGCTTGTTCATTCTTCTGGCTATCTATGGTATATTCAATATTCTTCACCAAACCATAATTCAAAGGCATAAATTCTTCTTCAGCCTTCCTTCTTCATTGTCCAGCTTTCACATGCATATGAGGCTATTGAAAATATCATGGCTCAAGCCAAGTGCACCTTAGTTTTCAAAGTGACATCTTTACTCCTTAACACTTTAAAGAGGTCTTTTGCAGCAGATTTGCCCAATGCAATACATCATGTAACTTTTTGACTGCTGCTTTTATGGGGGTTGATTGTGGAAACAAGTAAAATAAAATATGTGACAACTTCAATCTTTTCTCCTTTTATCATGATGTTGCCTATTGGTCCAGTTGTGAGGATTTTTGGTTTCTTTATGTTGAGGTGTAATCCATACTATAATCTATAGTCTTTGATCTTCAACAATAATTGCTCAAGTCCACTTCACTTTCAGCTAGCAAGGTTGTGTCATCTCCATATCTCAGGTTATTAATTGAGTCTTCCTCCAATCCTGATGCTGAATACTTCTCTGATTATTTGTTCAGCATACAGATTGAATGAATAAGTATTATCTAAAGATACAACCCTGACACACACCATTCTTGATTTTAAATCATGCAGTATATCTTTACTCTCTTTGAATGACTACCTCTTGGTCTATGCATAGGTGCCTCATGAGCACAGTTAAGTGTTCTGGAATTCTCATTCTTCACAATGTTATCCATAATTTGTTATGATACACACATTCAAACACCTTTTGAAGTGAACATCTTTCTAGTGTTCTCTGCTTTCCATCTAACATTGGCAATGATATCCCTTGTTCCATATACTCTTCTGAATTTCACTTGAATCTCTGGCAGTTCCATTTTGATGTACTGCTATAACCTTTGATAAACTGTCTTCAACAATTATACTTGCATGTGATAGTAATG